GGGGGGAGAACAAATAGGACAGATGCTGGCAGCTGTGAGTCTAGGGAGCCCACATTCCAGGAAGCTACCCTACAGCTCCCTTTATTACTCTGTAATTTTATTTTTAGTGTTTGAGGTGGTTGGTCTACGGAGGTCGGAGAGGTCAGTCCGTCAGCAGAGGGCCTCAGCCATCGGGGGCACAGGCCGGTCCCCCCTTAAACCGCGGGGACGATGCCTTTCTGAAGACACAAATGGGTCGGTCTGGGGGTGACCACGGTGGGCCCTGCGGAGCAGATGTGCTCACAGTGGGGCAGGTGACCCCTGGGATCAGCAGCCCAGCTGCCCTGCCTGATGCCCAGGAGAGAGGCCAGGGGTGCTCAGTCCTTCACCCCGAAATGGGGCTCCCAGTCCACACCCAGCAGCGACATCTACCAGCTAAATCCCCGCTGCGGGGGAGGTTGTGGGAAGAAAACGCCCCGCAGGCCTGGAAGGGGCGGCATTGGGGAAACGCGAGAAAGCCGAGCAGGAGGAAAAACCGCGGCCTGGAGCACGCGGGTTTCCGCTCTTTCTCCTTCTGCCCAATTGGGGAGGATCCAGACCCCTGAGAACACTGGGCACCGAGGGTCGGCGTGAAGACTGGGCTCTGATTACAACCCCAGCCCTGCTTGGGGAGCGCAGATGCAGATCACCTGCAGCTCGTGGCTCGTGGCTCGTGGCTGGGGGGGGCAGAGTTTGCTTTATTTGAAAAGAAACAAGCTGTCCCATTGCCTCACTTTCCTCAGATGTACCTGACAGTGTTTTTCCCTCAGACGCTCAGCCTGTGTACACAGAGCACAGGGGACATCCCGTCAGCCCTGGGACCCGGGGCCCAGGGACCCGGGAGTGGTGGAAGCTCCCCCACTTTCCTCTGCTGTCCCTCCTCCAGGGGCAGGGTTATTGGCATTTACGAGCCATTCATTAGCAGCTGCGTAAAGTGCGCAAATGACTCCAATGAAAAGCGTTAACCTAATTAGGAGTGGGTGGGGGTGTCCGTCAGAACTGACTGATTCCCGAGTTATTTCAATGGTCACACCCAGATTTGGGAGCTGACTTGGAAACGCAAGAACTTCTGAATATTAAAAGGTCTTTTTTCTTTTTTTTTTTAAAGCAGAATCGACTTTTAATGAGAAGAGAGAAATATCACGGGTTCCAATGGACTCGGGAGCTGGCCTTGCGGGATTCCGGGTGTTGGGGTGGCACATACGAGGTTAATAGCTGACCATTCACAGAGCGCAGCTTATTTCCCTCCGTGGGTCAGAGCGATGGACTAAATTCTGCATGAGGACATGCATGTGATGTGGGGGCCACACTCTGGATTCTGCACAGGAAAGATGATCATAAAACACAGGCACTCGGGACGCTTGAAGTCAAGCGGGTTAATTTTCGGGTCGTTAAGGATCTCTCATTAATGACCACCCTGAATTCCATTTCCCTTAGTAAAGCCAAATAAAATACCAGATTCCTAAGAAGACCAATGGGCCCAAACAAGATAGTCTCCCCCCCTTCTCTTTCCCCCCATTAATCTAACTATTTGTTTCTCTTTCTTGGGCTAGAAAATAAAATATGCTTCCCGTGTATAAAGATCAGCGGCGCATGAAATTCTAGAAGACTGTTTGATGCAAACATTCTCAGGAAAGGTAAATAAGGCTTTCTTAGGCGTTTTTACCTTAATATAAATAAAGTTAATGGATTCAGTCGGAGACAAATTAAAGTTGAATTTGCTTTTGTCTTGGCAGAGTGTTGGAATCTTGACTCTGCATAAGGAGACCATGGTTCAAGTTTTAATTTTGCTTCTATCTCACTGAGCAATTAGGAGGAATTTATTGAACCTCCTGGGACATAATTTCTCTAGCGTGGGTTGGCCATAGGATATTAAAACCACACAAAGCTCTAATGCTTCAAGTTCATTGCTTCAGAAAATGGTAACCGTTCCTGAAGCCCTACTTTAGGTATAAATTAATAATTACGGCTAAGAGTATAGACGTCCTTCCATCAAGAAACTAAACAGGCCCTGGCTGGTGCGGCTCAGTTGATTGAGCATCCCATGAACCAGGAGGTCACGGGTTCGATTCCCATCACCTGCCTCCTGCAGGCCCCCTCCTGGGGATCGAGCCAATGACCCAGCAAACTCAGGGAGACACTCCGTTCTCGCAGACACTTCTGCTTGAAGCCTCACGAAAGGGCTGTAAGGAACCTTCCAGGCCCCGTCCCCTTCAGGAAGGCCATTGGCGTGAGCACCAAGGACGGTGTCTGTGCCCCTCGGTTGTGGGCACCAGCTCAGGATGTCGCAGCGAAGGCGGGCTTGCGCTGTGCCAAGGAACCCGCAGCCTGACTAAGCTCGATCCGTGAATATCAGGAATCACGTGGATTCGTTCAAACGGAAAACGGGCAAAAGGGTGCGCTGAGTGCGGAGCGTGCTGACTACGGCATCCGGGGAAGCCCACCGTAAAAGCTGGTGAAGGAAAAGACGGGCTGTTTTCAGTAGTGACCACGGACGCCCGATAACCTGGAGGAAGTGAGGGGAGTTTATGCCATTCTGTGGCCAAGACCAGGGCTCGCTGCCTGCAGATAAGAAGGGAGAGGGCGTTTGGAGATTTAACTTTGAAGGTCAAACCACAGAAGATTCCTGGGGAAAGAAACTGAGCAGCTTCTTCCTGAGCGTATCCGAGGGATTAAATACAATTAAGCTGTGAAGATGTGATAAAATCAAAGCTAAGCATTAACCCAGAGCCATCCGTCCGTGAAACGGTGAGCAAACAGGAGGGCGCACCTGCCGGGGACACGCCCAGGTCTGCGAGTATATATGACCCTGAGTCCAGAGCAGGACACTCAAGCTCAGGCTCTTCTCACCATCACCCGCTCAGCTCCCGTCTCGTCTCCCGTCTCGTCTCCCGTCAACATGTTCCGCAGCGGCTGCTCTGGAAACTTCTCTTCCCGCTCCCTTGGGAGCTACCAGTGCCACCCAGGCTCCTGTGGCTCTTCCCACCCCAGCAACCTGGTCTACAGCACCGAGCTCTGCTCCCCCAGCCCCTGCCCGCAGGGCTCCTCTCTCCGCAGTGGCCGCCAGGAGACCTGCTGGGAGCCTCCCAGGTGCAAGGAGATCTGCTGCAAACCCCCCAGCCCCCAGGAGATCTGCTGCAAACCCCCCAGCCGCCAGGAGATCTGCTGCAAACCCCCCAGCCGCCAGGAGATCTGCTGCAAACCCCCCAGCCCCCAGGAGATCTGCTGCAAACCCCCCAGCCGCCAGGAGATCTGCTGCAAACCCCCCAGCCGCCAGGAGATCTGCTGCAAACCCCCCAGCCCCCAGGAGATCTGCTGCAAACCCCCCAGCCGCCAGGAGATCTGCTGCAAACCCCCCAGCCGCCAGGAGATCTGCTGCAAACCCCCCAGCCCCCAGGAGATCTGCTGCAAACCCCCCAGCCGCCAGGAGATCTGCTGCAAACCCCCCAGCCGCCAGGAGATCTGCTGCAAACCCCCCAGCCGCCAGGAGACCAGCTGTAAACCCCGAAGCTGCCAGACGTCCTGCTGCGGCCCGAGGGCCCCCAAGCCCTGCAGTCCTGGGGCTCTGGGCTGTGGGTCCAGCAGCAGCTGCCCCTCCCTGGGCTGTGAGCCCAGCAGCTCCTTCTCCGTGCTCTGCGGGCCCCGTGGCTTCGGACGCACGCGTTATGGAGGCTGTGGCTTCCCTTCCCAGAGCGACGCACCCGGGTCCTGCTGCCCGGCCTCCGTGGCGCCCAGGAGCTGCCAGGCACCGTGTCACCCACCCACCTGCGGACCGTCGGCCTGTTAGACGGACTCGCTGTGCTGCCAGGCCTTCTGGGCAGCGTGTCCCCGTCTCTGCTTAGAGCTGCCGCCCGGGGCTTTCCCGGGGTGGCAGCCGACCCCTCGCGCCACCAGCTCCGCCCCTCGCTCTCTCTGCCAGATTAGCTCTTTCAAACTAGTGAAATCAACAAGTGATCAAAATGTTAAACTCAGTGTCTGTAATTTGGAGACGGTTGATTCAGATTTACATAAATTCTCCTCGCAAACTGTGGAAGTCCACGTTGGCCCGATCTAATAAACTCGCTCGCTTTTGCATCTGATCTGCTCTCGTGGTTGGTTTTTGTTGGTTTTCAGGGTTTGGTTTGGGTATGTCTTGGGCTCCCGACCGTCAGAATTCTTTATGCCCCCAGGAAAGGGCGCCGGGCCCGGTATGTGGGGAATTTCCCGCTCACCCCTCTGCCTATCCGGCTTCAGGTCTGCGCGTTTTCCCACCGTCAGGCCGGCAGGATGCGACCGCTGAGAGTCTGCCCACAACGGAGCAACATTCTCGCTGTGTTTCCAGTGGGGACGCCTTATGCTGACCGCTACACTTGGTTTTGATTATATATTTTCAAGACCATATTGAGTTAGAGTTTGTCCAGAAGACGTCACTAGGTGATGAAATGTTTATAAAATATTATATAAAATATTGGAGTGCCTCTAATATAATGAAATGGGGGGGTGGAAGTCACGATGATTTTCTCTAAATATGTGGGCAGGTGGGTTTTTCAGTGCGAATGTGTGCGTGTGAGTGTGAAAGACAAAGTTTTAAAGATTAAAGATGTGAGGAATGGACAGTTAAGGGAGAAATACGTTGGCTTGTTATAAAGAAATACATATTTATGAATCATAAACTTACAGAGTTATTGAGACCTGGGTCGTTTCCTTGAACTGATTGAGCTCCTCAAGCAGTAAAAGACAAATACCCCGCCCCCCCCCTTTGGTAACTTCTGCATTGAATTGAAGATGTAATTAAATTACTTAAATTTTTTTTAAATTGATTTTTTTAGAGGCCGAGGAAGGGAGAAAGGGAGAAGCATCGATGTGAGACAGATCGATTGGTTGCCTCCCACATGTGCCCTGACCCAGGGATCAAACCCAAAACCCCCCCATGCACCGGACGGCGCTCTAACCTGCTGAGCCACACTGACCAGGGCTAGAAGCAGATTACTTTTAATGTCCCAAATCTTATAAGCTGCCTAGGAATCCTTGGGGCCCACTGCTCAGCCCAGATAGTGAGAAGAAAATAGATCCTTGTAAGACACTCTGATCCGAGACAGGACACATTCTGTGTTTATTTTTTATTTGAGTAACTTATTTGTCTCAGAGGCTAAACGCAGGGTCAGAGTCCAGTTAAAACTTCTCCAGGACGTTTGGAAACGACTCTCCCTGAGCCGGACAAGACCATCAGACATTCTCATTCCCTCACCGTGTGCCCGAGGGCGCCTGGGTCACATTTTCTCAGGCTTTTCCTAACCGAACCTCCTTCCTCCCATACTCAAGGCAGCCGCGGGCTGAGCGTGGAGGTGCGGGGCCCGGCCCCCCACGCACAGGAATCTACCCAACACAGAGACGGGGGTCGAGAGGAGCAGAGGGAGGCTCCTGCATCGCGGGGTCCCCATCACCCTCGGCCAGCTTCCTGGGTCCTTCACGCACGTGGACTATATAGGCCCATAAAACCTTCTTTTGGTTTAAACTAATTAACCTAATTAAAATGAAAAAGGTTTCCGTCACTCACACCCGAAGAGTAACAATCACTAAGCGGCGTCGTCAGGGCAGAGTCCGTCACTGACGAGGTGCAGGCGGGCGGTGAGCACTCTCGTCAGGAAGACACCCGGTCCCCTGAGCCCGCGGACGGCCGCTGGCATGGCAGGNGACAATCACTAAGCCGCGTCGTGGGGGCAGAGTCCGTCACTGAGGAGGTGCAGGCGGGCGGTGAGCACTCTCGTCAGGAAGACACCCGGTCCCCTGAGCCCGCGGACGGCCGCTGGCATGGCAGGGGGGCTGCCAATCCCTCCTTGAGTGACGCAGCCTGAGGAAGACGTGGGACAGAGAACCCGCCCGGGAAACTCACTCACGGGAGCCGGTCTCAGCGGCAGCGCTGGCGAGGGGCCCGGACACGCTCAGCGAACCCGCTGCGTCTCTAAGCTTCTGATTCAAGCAAGGAAGGCGCAGGCCCGACCCGGAGGGATGAGAGCAGCAGGGTGCTTAAGGCCGACACCAGCCCCGGGGCGGAGGAAAAGGGGTGTCCGGTGACACAGAGGGTCTCGTTCCTGTGACCCGGAGGATGTCTCCATCCTCACGGAGCCTTTGAGGGGAGAGGCCAGAAAGTGAAACAGGGAGGCAGACGGTGGGGAGGAAGCGCACGGACTTGAACACGGCAGAGATTAAACCCCGAAGCCCAACGTCGAGGCTCAGAATCCCGGCCTCAGACAAGACAAGCAAGCACCTTTTTCTCTAGTGTCTTTTCTTAGTGCCCCGTTGCTGCTCATTTCTAAGTATTTNCCTAGTGTCCCTTTTCTTAGTGCCCCGTTGCTGCTCATTTCTAAGTATTTCCCCATGTCTCTGGTCTCACCCCTTTCCTCCCTCAGTCTCTCTCTGTCCCCACGACATCCACCCTCTGGATCTGATAGAGCTTGGGCCNTCTAGTGTCTTTTCTTAGTGCCCCGTTGCTGCTCATTTCTAAGTATTTCCCCATGTCTCTGGTCTCACCCCTTTCCTCCCTCAGTCTCTCTCTGTCCCCACGACATCCACCCTCTGGATCTGATCGAGCTTGGGCCCCGGGGACACTGGGTCAGTGACCGGGTTGGATGATGGTGACCCGAAGTGTAAGGGAGGCCGGGCTCTGTCACGAGGGAGGGGCCACAGTGCGGTCACTCAGCACCACTGACTCTCGTGCCCTCGGCGGACGGAGGGGCCTCAGCTCTCTGCTCTGAATGTAGCTCCTTAACAGGTTTGCTCTTCCACTTCGGAGCTCCGCAGAAAGTGCTGGTAACCTAGGAGAGGCCGAGACGTTTGCCTCCGAAGGGTCAGTTCGTTTCTACTGAAGTGTGATATCCGGGGAGCAAGAGCTGAAAGGCGACGTAGTGACTGAGGGAGGGATCGCCCAGCCCTGGGGCGGAGACGCGGCGAAGGAGCAACGCCGATGCCCGGGAGCCTGAACGCCAAAGACAAAATCAACCTTCGCGTCTGACCTGTGGAGTGGCCCTTGGGGCCCGTGTGGTTCTTGGGAAGCACAACGCGTGTGCTTCTTCACATGACCAGGGGCTCGCTCCGTGGCAACGAGCAGTCGAGTAAAAGCTAACGGCGGGCAGAGCCCAGGATGGGAGCGGCCGGCTCTGATTTTCCTTCTTTAAACAGTTTTCCTGCTGAGCAGCCGAGCACAGGGTGAAGGTCCAGGCTGCGGACCCGACTGCAGGGCACGTGGCTCTCTCATGCGTACCGTAGACCCTCTCAAAATTCAGTTTCATGTAAAAAAGCGATAATGCTGGTATTTATATCCAAAATTACAGTGAAGACCAGATGATATGTGCAGCGGCTTGAAGAGTTCCTTGGACATAGAAAGGACTCTATAGACGTAAACCGTTATTAGACTATAAATATGTGCAACTTACGCCCCCAAACAATGCTCAGGGGTCCCCTGACCCACCTCTCTGGTTGAGTGAGCCGTAGCCATCATATTACTTTATGTGGCCAAAATTAATATTCACCCTCCGAATTTCTGAACATGTTCAACATCTACTCAAGCGCACAATTGTGTGCCCTTCCTTCCAAACATCACAGACTGTAAATGAACATCTTAATATAATTTTTTACCCTAGGTATAACCTAATTCAGAATTTTCTTCTAACACTTTTTTTTATCATCTATCAATCATCTATCTATTTCTATCAATCATCTATCTGTCTGTCTATCTATATCTATCTAATGTATCTATCTATAATCTATCTATCTATCTGTCTATCTATATCTATCTGATGCATCTATCTATCTATATCTAATCTATCACCTATCTATCACCTATCTATCATCTATCTATCTATCTATCTATCTATCTATCTATCTATCTATCTATCATCTATCTATCATCTATCATCTATCTATCTATGATCTATCTATCATCTATCTATCTATCATCTATCTATCTATCTATGATCTATCTATGATCTATCTATGATCTATCTATGATCTATCTATCATCTATCTATGATCTACCTATCATCTATCTATCTATCTATCTATCTATCTATCTATCTATCTATCTATCTATCTATCTATCATCTATGTCTGTCTGTCTATATCTATCTAATGTATCTATCTATATCTAATCTATCTATCATCTATCTATCTATCTATCTATCTATCTATCTATCTATCTATCATCTATCTATCTATCTATCATCTATCTAATCCTTTGAAACATTTCTTCACACTGATTCTCTGGGCGGTGTTTTCTCTCTGCCTTGGCTCTGCGTCCTCAGCAGTGTCTGTCTGCTCTTCACACAACCACATCCCTATATTCAGGTTAACCGAGGCCTGTCAGATGTCACGCCCACCCTCACACAATATAGAAATGTGACGATCTGTGACATTACTTTGGACATTTTTATTTGTCTAGCAATTTTCGACTTTCTTGAAGGAAATAATTTGGTATTTATTTTACCGCTCTTAAGCCTAAGGGGCCATTAAAATTTTACACACTATAAATTTGATAGTAGATTACTTTCTCAAAGTGTTTGGGCTGAAATTTCCATCTTCTTCGCTAATATTATTGGAGTCCACTTATTGGAGGCACTTCACACCCGCCCAGCTGGCAAGGAGAGCCAAGCAGAATTATTCTGCCATAAAACTCATTTGACTCTTAGGGAGCGTCGGGTGATGCGATGATCCCTCTTCTTTATGCTCCGTTTACATCACACATATTAGTTGCTACTGAACATAAATACACGCTTTATATACGGCGGGCTGCGTCAGGGACGACTGAACTAAGGGTCGCAATAAAATACACCACCGCGGGGACACGAGCTACATCTCGGCCTCCTGTATGTGACCCCGTGAGGCGCAAATCAAACGTCATGATGGCTGGCTGCTCCGATACGCAGCACTGACCAGAAGTCCAAGGCACAACGGTAAACTGGCTTTTAGCTATAGAACACGAGGGGGCACATTTATGAAGGTATTAATCTGTTTGCTTGAAATCAGACAACACAGCAGGGAGACGTTCTTAGGCCAACTGTAGTTCAGAGGATATTAAGGTCGGCCTCAAAGACCCCTGACCCTCAGGGAGAGAGCAGAGCCCCGCAGGCCAGCAGGGGACAACCAGGCTCTGACACTGAAAACGAATGAATCGGGTGCAGAGGGCCCATCTTACAGCCGCCCCTGGAAACTAGCCCCCTTCCCCGGCACTGCCAGGGGGCTGCTGGCCTGCCCGTCTCACCCTGTGGCTCCTCTTACGTGTCTGCCCACCGACCTCTGTTCTCCAGTCTCCACCAAGTCAGGCNACCCACCGACCTGTGTTCTCCAGTCTCCACCAAGTCAGGCTGCTCTGTAACGACCCCGAGAAAGCCGTATAAGCCCCTCAGCAGCCACAGCGGTCACTTACCTAGAGACCTGAGTCCCAAGACCGAAGTCATCATCCCAGTTCCCGCGCGCACACTGCTTTTCTACCAGGGACGTCCCAGTTCCCGCGCGCACACTGCTTTTCTACCAGAGCCGACGAGCCTCGGCTCCTGTGGATCAGCTTGGCGCCTGGGCCCGCGCCCCCTGTGACCATTCGCCGCAGCCCCGGAGCCGGGAGCTGACTGACCGCCAGCCCCTCAGTCTCTCCCAGACACGCATCCTGCCATCCCGATACAACCAAGAGGAGTCAGAGTTGGGAGACGAGCTGAGAGATCGATGCCGGATATTATGAGAAGTTATAGATAAGAGGAATCATGAGATCATTTCATGAGATTTTGCTCTTTTGCAACGTGACGGATGCATTGCTATTTAATAAACTCCCTGTGTACGGAATCTGAACCCATTCATGTTTTTCCGTAATGTTTTTAGAGTTTATTGGCTTACTGCGGTCGCATTTTATTTTTATATGGAAAATGACTGTGTGGGTAGCTGTGGTTATTAATTTCAGGAGAAGCAACAGAAACCGGGACAGCACATTTGCATCAGCGGAAAATCCTATGGTCCGAAATGACATCTAATCAGAGAATTGCCGTTTCCTACGGAAAACGTAAACAGAATTCGAAATAATTCACCGTGCGCAGATGCAAAGGGCAAGGATTTTGCTCCGCTCTCGAGCAGCCGAGGGATCTCAAAGAAGAGCAGAAGTGACTGCATTTAATTGCCTGTGAGACACTTTACTCCAAAGCCACTTATCTTCCCCTAACATATTTCTCTTCGTTTCCCAGAGACAGCGGAAAGCAGCCTTCCTTTCAGGCCGTTCAGTCTCCTCGTCTGCCCAGCGCCCGGGCGCGGACGTGCTGAGTCGGCTAAAACGAGCCTCCCGGCTTTCACCTTCCCTGTGAACGTACTGAAAACCCGGCCAGGTGGCTCAGCTTCACGGGCTTTTACTTGGCATCAACGATGTACCAGGCGCTGTGAAACCGGGGCCATTTTCAAATTAAAACGACACAGTGTGGAGGACAGACGGACAGAGACGGAGAGACAGTGTCTGGTCGTGAGAGGCCCAGAGTCCGGCTCCAACACCTGCCGTCACCTCCCCCCAGCGCTGGGTGCCTCGGGCTGCTTTCCTTTATCTGTGATGCGTTTCAACCTGACTTTGTCACGGCCGATTTTCTCTTACTTCACTGGCTACCCTTTGTCAGTCGTTTCTGGGATCCTCTTACTTGGCCAAGTCGCTAAGGGTGAGGTTTTTCTCAGGGCGACATCCTGGGCCCCTCTCTCGTCTCCTTTGACACGTGNCGCCAAGTCGTTAAGGGTGAGGTTTTCTCAGGGCGACATCCTGGGCCCCTCTCTCGTCTCCTTTGACACGTGCCTCTGGGCTTTAATGACCATTTTTATGGGAGGCAGCCAAGCACGTGGTTAAAAATACAGGCTGCTGAGTGACCCTGCCAGGGTCTGCACCCGGGGCCCACTCTTTCTGCGCCGGGACCCTTTCGGGCTTTCTTCCCAGCGCAGCAAGAGTCAGCTCCGAAGGAGGCGAGTTTGTCCGGTTGCGTCTGTGCTTATATCCTAGCGATGGCCTCTCGTTGCCACAGGCCCACATCCTCTTGTCTAAGCCAGTGGGGCAGGTAGGTTACAGAATCGCGTTTTTCACACTTCAGGGAGCCAGCAGAATGGATAACACGCGGGGAATCTGGAGATGACATCCCCAGTCAGGCATACTGATGCATTTCGGAGGCCACCCTACAGACACCCCCACCAGAAGAAGGAACATGCGCAGTTTCCATTAGTTTGAGCCACGTGATTGCATCTAGAGAGACCGGAATTGGCCACCTTTCACCATCAGATTCGTTCTGGAAAAAGTGCTTGATTTTCAGAGATTTTTGGACCTCTGAGGACGGTGCCAACCTGCACCACGACGCATGGAGACCCTGTGGTCAGGCCCGTGGGCCTCGCTTTGTCTTTTGTCCCTTCTCCGGGGCACCCAGTGTCCACCCTGCCTCCTGAAACCCTTGGCCCACCGGTTCCTCCCCGCCTGGGTGTGGAGGGAGCCATCTGGCCTCTTCCGGAGATAAAATCAGGACGCGGAGACGCCAGGCGCGAAAGGACCGGGAGTCAGGTCGTGACGTAACTTGCATAAAATACTAAGACGTTAAACGTGAGTTTGAAAAAGGCCAACGGAGGCTTTAGAAAAACATAAAGGCCCAGGAAGCGGGGCTGGCCGGCGGGACCAGCGTCCCGGGGCACCCAGAGGACCACCTGCGGTGCCGGCCACGCGGGAGAGCGAAGGGTGCCGGCGTGTTCGGGCGTAAAACACCGGGGTGTCCCGATCCCAGGTGCCCTGCGGGGCGGGGGGTGAGGGGTGCCGCCCGCATCTCCCAGGGGTGCCGCTCGTGGTGCGGGGAGCTGAGTGCAGGCGGGCGGGGCACAGGCCGTGGGGAGGCGGCGGGGCGCCTGTGGGTGCCCCGCTTCTGTGGAACACCGCCGGGCGCTGTGGCCCCGCAAACTGGCAGCCTGGGGACAGGGTGCGAGGAGGTATTTGGGCCCTAAAACCGCCCTAAGTTACCCCTCGGTTCCTGCACCCACGAGGCGCCTGTCTCGGCGTTGAACCCGAAGGAGCCTGATCCCCCCGAGGGGACGGTCGGCGGGCGCCGGGCCAGGCCCACGCAGGACGCGGC